TTTCAATCTGCTTCAGTGGCGGGAGTACCACATGGATGAAATCACAGATCCTTGAGATATTAAAGATGTTGGTGTTACCAAATCACCACTAATTTAAGTAAGGTTGAGGTTTTTAAAATAAAGCAAGAGAGCCAGACCTGCATCCTCTCCATCAGAAGTATCAAATACGAGAACCCCCTAACTAGATTGAAGTGTTATTGGGAAATATTTAACAAAGTAAATAAAAATACAGTAAGACATAGATAATGTTAATATGCGGTTTTCTTAGTTCAATACTTACCTGTAGGGATATTTATGTATGGTTTAGTGACTCCCCCATCCCCCTTTTCTATTTGAGTTTGATACCACTGTTCTACATAGTTGTTATGAAGAAAGGCTAATATTTAGGGATAGGAAGTACATGGGTGGGTAGATGTGGAAAAAAGTATCATTAAAGCATTTTAAGTTTCACAGAGGGAATGGAGGGGGAGGTGCAGAAGGGGGCAAAAGTAGAGCACTTTGTTAAGGAAGACAGTGTGTCACTAGATTACAGAACCTGTGGAAATGCATAGAGGGTAAGGGGATTTGAAAGGTAGGAAGGGGCCAGGTCAAAAAGGATTTTAAAAGCCCAACCAAGGATTTATACTTGATTCTAGAGGCAATAGAGTCATTGGAGTTTATTGAAAATGGGAGTGACATGGTCAGAACTGTGTTTTAGGAAGATCACTTTGACAGCTGATTGGAGGATGGGGGGGGGGGGACTTTGCCTGGAGGCCACATGTAGCATTTTTGACAGAGTCCAAGTTTTACAGAACAAATCCTTTTATTAAGGGGATTTGTTCTGTGAAGTTTGGATTCAGTCAAAGGGCTGAACTTGAGGACCTAGAGAGCCCACACACGGCCTTGAGGCTGCAGGTTCCCTACCCCTGACCTAGAGTGAGAAGAGACTTATATAGCAGGCAGACCAACCAGAGGTCCAGGTGTGAGGCCAGCACCAGGGTGGCCGCTGAGAAGAGAAGAAGGCTTATACAAGAGACATTTGTTGTTGTTGTTCAGTTGTGTTTGACTCTTTGTGACCCCATTTGGGGTCTCTTGGCATACTGGAGTGGTTTACCATTTCCTTCTCCAGCTCATTTTACAGATGAGTAAACTGAGGCAAACAAGGTTAAATGACTTTCCCAGGGTCACTTATATAGCCTATAAATCTGAGGCCTGATTTGAACTCAAGAAGAAGAGTCTTCTTTTCTCCAGGCACAGAGCCCTAATTCACTGCATCACCTAGCTGTCCTACAAGAGGTATTAGGAAGATGAAATCAACAAGATTTGGCAAAGATTGGATATAGGGGTGGTGTGAGAGAGTGAGAAGGAGTCAAGGATGACATGGAAATTGTGAGGCTGGGTGACTGGGAGGGTGGTGGCCTGGATAGCTATAGGGAAATTAGGAAGAACTTTAGGAGGGAAAGATAATGGGTTCACTTTTTAAATGTTGAGTTTAAGATGTCTACAGAAAACCAATTTGAGATGTCCAGTAGGCAGTTGGAGATTCTACAATGGAGGTAAAAAGTGAAGTTAGGGCTGGCTAAGTGGATTTGAGAATCATCCATGTAAAGATGATAACCGAATCCCTAGGAGCTGATGAAATCACTAAGTGAAAGAATATAAAGCAAGAAGAGAAGAGAGTTCAGGAAAGAGCCTTGGGGAACATCCATGGCTAGTGAGAGCAACCCAAATGAGAGAAATCTGAGTTTAAATTCTCTTCAGACACTGGTATGCCTCAGTTTTCTCATTTGTAAAATGAGGGTGATAATAATAGCAACTTTCTGCCCAGATTGTTATAATGATAAAGCAAGATAACACATGTAAAGAGCTTTGCAAACCTAAAGCACTACATAAATGCCAGCTATTATTATGAAGATCCAGCAGAGATGAGGAGTAGTCAGACAGGTATGAGGAGAACCTGCAGAGAGTAGTGTCATGAAAACCCAGAGAAGAGAGTATCAAGGAGAACAGGGTAATTGACAGTATCAAAGGCTGTAGTGAGGTCGAGTAGGAGGAGGACTGAGAAAAGGCCATTCGGATTTGGCAATTAAGAGATCACCGGTAACTTTGGAGAGAACAGTTTCAACCCAAGGTGAGATTGGAAGCCAGACTGCAGAGAATGAGTGAGAAGAAAGGAACTAGAAGCTCTGCTTGTACAGACAATCTTCTCAAAGAATTTAGCCACAAAAGAGAGGAGAGATATAGGATGATTGTTAAGGGGATGGAGGGGATATGGGCAGGATTTTAGAGAACAGGAAAGCAGCTAGTAGATAGGGAGAGACTGAAGATAATTGAGACAATGGGGATAAAAAAGGTGGTAATAGTCTGGAGAATTCATGTAGGAGGGGCTTGTCTTGGCCAGGAGAGTGGTACTTCTTACGAGACAGGAGTGAGGGAGGAGATAGTGGGTTCTTAGAAGGTATCTGAAATGAGGAAGGGAGCTCTTAGCAAATGACATTGTTTTTCAGTGAGGATAGGGGGAGGATGGGAAGCCATGGGAGGTTTGAGGAAGGATGAAAAGGTCTGGAAAAGCTGCTGTGATGAGTGGAATAATGAGTTAATTATGGAGATGTAAAATGTATTTATTGCCTTACTGCAGAGAGGGTTCACTTTTATCAGCCCTCTAATACTTAGTAGCTGTGTGACTCCATGGGCAAGACGCTTAGCTGACTTATTTTTCACATCTTTAAAAACGGGTCTGGGCAGTGGATTTCAGTAGAGTTGGTTGGAGGATTGTCATTATAGACTCCTTATAGCTCAGCAAGAGAAAAAAAAGGCCAGGGGACCGGGGGTGCTTGCACTAGGCATGCAAGAGAAGAATCAAAAGCTCGGTGGCTTTAGCCCCCGCAGGAACTGAGTACAGGAAGCGGCAGTAGTAAAGAAAACCCTGAGGCCGTAGTAAAACCTTCCCCTCCGGCCCCACCTAAGAGCCGAGACTGATGCTATTTGACATAAACTACAGGAAAGGTGGTAGCTGCAGGAGCCAGAAGCAAATCAGAAGGTTCCCGCAAAGCAAACAGTTTCGCCCTCCTCTCCCAGCTCCACTTCCTCAGTGGGGTGGGGGCGGGGGAAATTGGCTTTCGGGGCATCTGTAGATGTCCGCTTTGCAAAGCCTCGGGGCACCGTTGAGCTCACGGTGGGAAGAGCAGGTGTATAGACAGGCTTTTCTCTCCAAACCAAAACTGGTCGTACCCATCGAGCATGCGCGGTGGTCCTACGAATGCCAGTCCCTCCGGGTTTTGCTGGAGGCCGAACTGGGAGGAGCCGAGGCCAAGGCTTTGAAGGTGGCCGTGAACTCTAAATAAGGTAGAGCCTCGGTGCGATGCTGAAGGGAGGGGGGGAGCAGGGCGGGGCCAGGGGAAGAGGGCGGGGCCAAGGGGTGGGAGGGGCAGAAAAGTGGACCTTACGCGTGCGTCTCTTTCCCTGGGACCATCTGCCTGTCTCGGTGCTGAGATGGGCTGGCCCTGAGGCGGGGCACCTGGTGCTACTGTGGTCATGGGCACAGGGATTTGGGATTTCTTCTTTTGGGGGTCGACTTGAGAGGCTCGACTCCATTGCCCGGTAACGAGGCTGGTACCCCTAGGTGGTGCAGTGGATACCGCGCCTGGGTCCGGAAGACCTGAGCTCAAGGACTCCTTCTGTCGCTCTATTAGCTTGGGTGACCTTGGGCAAGTCATAGCCTCAGTTTCCTCATCTGTAAAAGGGGGCTAATAATAGCACCTACTTCCCAGGGTGGTTGTTATGTGGATAAAATGAAATCAAGCATTTGTAAAGCGTTAGGTAAATAAATTATATATAGATAATAGATCCAGATGTCGTAAACTATCTATTAATAGTTATCTATAGCTCTGTATATATGTATATGTATATATGTATATGTATAGCTCTATGATTTGTCTACAGAAGTATTCTATGTCAGATATAGATAGAAACCTATCTATAATTTATATACCACTTAGTGCTTCGAGGTTTGCAAAGTTTTACAAATTCTGTATCTCATTTTATCCACACAACTACTACCCTGGGAGGCAGGTGCTATTATTAGCCCTCATTTACAGATGAGGAAACTGAGGCTGACTTGCCTGAGGTCACACAGGAGCACACATATATGCGTATCTATCGATCGATCTATCTCTATCAGAGGGGTCGACTCAGGGCTGCTGAGCCCCTGAAGGGTGTGTGTGTGGGAGGGGGGCACGCATTGGTACAAAAGAGTCACATCACATTGGGGATGGGAGGGGGATCTTGGGGACCATCTAGAACCCCATCCGCTCCTTTCAAAGACGAGGAATTTCAGGCCCGGGAGGCTAGGTCCGGAGGGGTTCGGGCTCCCGGCACAAGAATCGGCCTCCAGGCCTGGAGGCTTCTCCCCCGGGGGTCCTGCGGGCTTGGAGATCGGGATGAGGTCGTGCTGGCGCTTCGCCCTCCTTCGGCCACGTGGGGACGAGCATCGCTCGGGGATTCTGGAGGGTACCGGGGAAACCGTGGACGGGTGGTTGCCTTTCTCCCGTGGCTCTGGGTCCACGCGGGTCCCAAGCACGCCTCCCCACGAACCCCCGGCACTTCTCCCTCCAATTTCTGACCGCTGGGGCAAGCTACCCAACGTGCGACTCCTAATGCCCAAGCCCAGCCTCCCTCCCGCCCTCGCCGTCCGCTAATCAATGCCCGCTCCGCCCCAGGCTGGTGTCTAAGTCGCCGCGGCAGGGAGCTGGGGAGGAGAGGGGCGGGGCTGCTTGGCTCTTTCGGAAGAATTGGCCCCGCCCCTCTGCTCCCTCGCCCCTCCCTCCCCGAAGCTCCAGAGGTTCGGAACCTGGGAGCCCACACACTCCTCCCCCCGCCCTCCCGCCTCGCTCTCTTAGCTCCGGGCTCGCGGCTCCAGCTAAAGCCCGGAACGGATTATGGCGAAGCGCTGGAACGGCCTTGCTTTTTGACTCTTTAAAGTCGCCGAGCCTGGGCATGCTCAGTAGGCAGGCTCGGTTTGGGTCCTCAAGTCGGAAGCTTGTGCACTGCTCCAGCACCGAGCCGCCGCGGGGGAAAAATGGAGCCGTTCACCAGCGGTGAGTGGTGTGAGGCGAGCCGCTGCCCCGCCGCCCGCCCCGTGCACTTGGCCCGGGCCAGCCCCGCGGCGGTCTGCCGCCTCTGCCGCCTAGCTCGCTGCCCGCCGGGGCGTTGGGGGGCGGGGATGGGGCAGGGGCTGCAGGGGCAGGCTGGAGGCCGGGGCGCTGGGGAGGAGGGCAGCTTCGCCTGCAAGGCCCGGCCCCTGGCTGCCGGCTGAAGGTCAGCCCCGCGCCCGCAGGAGGGGTGCGGCTGGCAGATGACCTGCGGCATTTCCACCCCCCTGCTCCTGGGAAGCCCCGGTGTGGGCCGGTGGCAAAGTTACTCCTCCGTGCAGCCCAGGTGCCCCAAATGACAGAGGCTGGGAAGAAACTTGGGGAGTCACAGTTGAACTCCCCAGAGTGATGGGGAAGTGGGGTGGGAAAGGTCGCACCTAGTGGGCGCTTAATAAATGTTGATTGATTAATGATTGATTAAGGCGCCTGCCCTGCCTCCCGACACAGCCCTGATTTGCTAAAATAGAAACTTAAGTGGGTGCAGGAAGGCTTTAGGAAAGGAGCAAGAAGGCTTGCACTGGGAGTGAGGAGAGGTGGCAGCACAACTGGAGGGATGGGGAAACTTCAAAAGGACCTTCTTCCCTACCTGTCCCACTGCTAAGGCGGATTTCCCCTCATTGGTCCCATCCTTTCTGTCCCTATGTATGCATAACCCCACTCCCAAAACCCCTCCAGCAATGACAGCGTCCCAAACCAAATGGGCTGTGAGATGCCCACATAATTTTAAAGAGCTTTTCAGCATGGTGCTCTGTGTGGGCAGTGTCTGAGCCCTAGCCCTCTCTAGTTTCCGGTGGATGATGAGAAGGTGGATGATTTGTGACATCAGCTAGGGCAAAACAATTTGGGTACTAACTGGGGCCCATTGTCAGACAGACTTCGGTTAAGTTTGCTTCAGAAACTCTCAGCCCTATGTAAAACCAACTGCTTTCACTTTAAAGTGCTGGAGTCTTAGTTTTGGGTTGTGCTGTTGCAGTAGTTGGTGAAGTATAAAATTCAGTGAATAGGTTTGTTTTGTTTTTGTTTTTAAGCAGGAAGTAGATTAACTACCTGGGGAAAACTTTACACTAAAACTTCGGTCACTTTCATTATTTTCCAGGAGTTATTATATAGAGCTCACTCTCATGTTGACAGGTATTTTGAATGTGGTTGGGGTGGTTAGAGCAGGAGGCTAGGATCTGGTTCCTGTAAAGACTGGCTTCAAAAACATTTTTTTCCATTGCACCCTCACCCCCTCTCTCCTCCACGTATTCTAAAAATTGTGTGCTGTTGGTCATTAAGGAGACACTGAGTTAGAGAGTGTGGGTGGCTTTGTGCACTCCCAGGCACACATTCAAAGTCAATGCCCTGCTGTCTGATTCTACTTAGTAAGTAGTAATCTATCTTTCTGGTAAAGTACTGGTAAAGTAGGTTAGTCAAAGCAACTTTAATTTTGAATTTTCTTTCCCCTGTAGGTATTACTTTATTTATAGTTTTGAGGATCAGCTAGTAAAGTTATTTAACATAGACTTTTGTGTTTAATACAGATCTTTCATACTAAATACTTTAAAGAGATAATTACCTGTATTATAATTTCAATGTTAGGCGCAGTAGTTTTCTGTTCTGAGCCTTATTGTGTGGAGCTCTGTAATTGTAAGACTGGTGGTGTTTTATTTACAGTCTCCTCCCCTTTCAGTAAGTAGTGTCAAAACTTAGGTTTTATTTTATAAAAGTAAACATCCTTAAAACTAGCCCATTATTCCTTGTCCCTCACAAACAAAACAAACCACAGTTTGATATAAAATACCTGTAGGGATCTGGATGAAGAATTCAGTCATTTGGGAGAAGTGTATTGGGAAAGTTTATGTTCACACATATCCATATACCTAAAGGATAGGAGCAGTGCCTAAAATGTAAGAAATTGGATGTCTAATTCTTCTTCTATTGCTTTTTTCAAATTTTTGAATAATGTGTCTTTTTTTAAAGGATGAATACTCAGGGAGGGAGGCTTGTCTAGTCTTCCTTAATGAGAAGAGTAGAAAATTAGAATATCTTCCTGTTGTGGTTAGGAATTTGGGATAATCTCCAAAGATAAGGATAGTACCATTTATTTCATGACATCACATTAGAATTTCTTAATGTTGTTGAACATGGCATAGAACTGTATTCATCCACCTCTCACCCATGGGGGAAGGAAAGTGTGATGTTTCTTTTTTTTTCTCCAGGCCTAAAATGGGTCATTGCAATTCATCTCAAGTCAACTGTTTTTCAGTGTTGTTTTCTTTTACATTATTGTGGTCATTGTATATATTATTCTACTGGTTCTCGGCTGACTTTGCTTGATATCTCTTCCTACAAGTCTTCTCATATTTCTCTGAATTCCTCATTTTTGTATGGGACAAAGGGAAGAGAATAAGCGTTTATGTAGCACCTGCTGTATGACAGGCACTATGGTAAATGCTTTACAAATATCTCATTTTATCCTCACAGACATCCTGTAAAGTAGATGCTGTTATACGAATTTCACATTTGAGGAAACTGAGGTTAAGTGACTTTCCTAGGGTCACACAGCTAGTAAATGTCTAAGGTTGCATTTGAACTAAAGTTTGCTGCATTAATCCTCCATTAAATTCTTATAACACAATTTGTTTAGCTAGCCCCATTTTGATAGGTACCCACTCTGTTTCAAGTTTTTTCTTATTCATCTTTGCACAGTACCTTGAATATTTAATTAATATTTAATCCTTATTGTGTACAAAGTAACTAAGCTGGGAACATTGGAGATACACAGACTGAAAGGAGTCTCTGATCTCCAGAAGCTTTCTACTGGGAGAATATTTGCCGTGGGATCCATACTTTTAAGTAAATACAAAACAAATATGTACAGAATAATTTTAAGGTGGAATACTATTGTGCTGTGACAAATGCTGGTCAGAATGCTTTCAGAAAAACTGGGAAAGACTTAGATGAACTGATGCAAAGTGAAATGAGCAGAACCAAAAGAACAGTGTACACAGTAACAGCAATATTGTACGATGATCAGTTGTGAATGACTTAGCTATTCCAGTAATAAAGTGATCCAAGACAGTTCTGAAGGACTTACGATGAAAAATTCGATCTACCTCCAGAGAAAGAACCGAGAGAGTCTGAATGCAGATCGAAGCATACTTTTTAAACTTTATTTTTGTCTGTATTTTCTTTAATAACATGATTAATATGGAAATATATTTTGCATGACTGCATATGTATAACCTGTGTCAAATTGCTTGACTTCTCAATGAGGGAGGAAGGAGGGAGAGAATTTGGAACTCAAAATTTTTAAAAATGAATGTTAAAAATTAGTTTTATATATAATTGGGAAAAAATAAAATATTTAAAAATAATTTTAAGAGGGAGGGAATGCTAATAACTATGGTGAGATGAGGAAAAACCTTGTGTAGAGAGTAGTACCCAAGCTGTACTTTCAAGAAAGTCTGGTACTATTCTTTTAGGTTGAGGTAAAGTGGGAGTGTGTTACAGACTTGGGTAAAGACATGGAGGTGAAAGATAGATTGTTGTATATAGGGAACAGTTAATAGGCCAGTTTGTTTGGAATCATGAGTATATGAAAGGGGGAGTAATACAAAATAATTGCAAAGAGTAGGTTGGAACCTGACTGTTCAGTTATTTCAGTTATGTCTAACTCTCTGTGACTCCATTTTGGAGTTTTCTTCGCAAAGATACTGGAGTGGTTTTCCATTTCCTCCTCCAGCTCATTTTATAGATGAGGAAACTGAGGCAAACAGGGTCCAGGATCACACAGCTAGTAAGTGTCTGAGGCCAGATTTGAACTCATGAAGATGAATCCTCTTGATTCCATGCCCAGTATTCTATCCACCGGCCACCTAGCTGCCCTGGACCCTGAGTATGGGGCTTTAAATGTGGGCTGAAGACTTTACATTTTATATATTATTCTGGGGCAAGTTTTGTTTTTGTTTTTCGCGGGGGCAGTGGTTGCAGGAGAAAGTTTGTATTATTGGATCTGTGTTTTAGGATTATCAATTTATTATCTTTGTGTAGGCTAGATTAGAGGGGAGAGAAAGAAGAGACAGATCAGTTGGGAGGCTGTTGCAGTAGTCAGTTGGAGAGAAGATAGAGACCTCTCCCCCACACCCTCCCAAGGGAGGAGGATCAACGATGTAATTGTCCAGTCCTTCAGCCTTGTCCCACTCTTTGTGACCTCACCGACCATAGCACAACAATGCCATTCTATCCGTGGCATTTTCTTGGCAAAGCACTGCAGTAGTTTGCCATTTCCTTCTCCAGTGGATTAAGGCAAACAAACGTTAAGTGACTTGCTCAGTGTCACACAGCTAATAAGTGTCTGAGGCTGGATTCGAACTCAGGTCTTCCTGACTCCAGGTCCATCACAGTATTCTCAAAGCCCAGCTGCCCCCAAATCAATGACACTAGGCAAGCTGATTGAGAGAGGGAGGAATTGAGAACCTGAGGGATTGGAAGGATGGTGTGAGAAATGAGTTATTTTTTTGGACATGTTGAGTTTGAGTTGGCTGTGGTACATCATGGTGGAGATGTCCAGGGGACAGTTGGGAGTCATCTCCATAGTGATGCATAGGGTCCATAGGAGCAGAGGAGAGAATGTAAGAAGAGAAGAGGCCTCAGTACCCAGCTTTGGGAGACAGCCACTGTTCATGGTGAAGGGGTTGGGTGATTTAACAAAGGAGACTGAGGAGGAATGGGTCAGAAAGATGGGAGTAGGGGCTGGTCAGTAGGGTTACAAACTCCTAAAAGGTCAAGTACAATGAGAACTGAAAAAAGACTATTGGGTGCCTTCCCTCTGAGATTACCCCCAATTTTCTGTGTGTGTGTGTGTGTGTGTGTGTGTGTGTGTGTGTGTGTGTGTGTGTGTGTGTGTGTATAATACATCATATATACATATCCCTCTATGATTTTGGCTCCTTGAGGGCAAG